TTTCGGCGCGTCGGCGGGCCCGTAGTGGCCCGCGGCCTCGGCCTCCTGGGCGTCGTCGCGGTCCCGGAGCTCGGGCGGCAGCTTGTACTTCTCGCAGTGGTCCACGCGGAGCGTGCGGCTCAGGAGCGACGCGCCGTTGCCGTTGTCCACTGCTAAGATCGTGCTCCGCTGGTCCTCGTACTTGGCCCAGCACCAGCCGCGCGGCTTGCCCGTCTTCTTGTCGCGCGGGTAGTTGAAGTCCTCGATCTCGCCCCACTGGCTCAGCACGCAGATGATGTCGCCCTCGCTCAGGTCCGTCGAGAGGCCCCCGACGTAGACCCAGGCGCTGTCCTTGTACTTGGCGTGCCACGACGCCTCCGCGGAGATGCCGAGCTCGAGCTCGCGCTCGTTGAGCTTCTGCACCTGCGCCATGTTGTTCATGGTCGCGAAGGGGGGCGCGCCGGCGCGACGCGATGCGGGTTAGCAGACGCTCAGAGATGCTTGGCGCGGGCCATCGCGGTGCCTCAAGGTGGTAATGTTTCAGTTGAACTGCACGAGATGTGCACGCATCCTTTTGACGTTCAAAAAAATGGGCAGCGCTTGCTCTCGGTGAAGCAGGCCTTCGCCTGAGCCGTCGCCGCCGCAATGGCACCGCGCCGCTGGCGCTACTGGTGCGCATTTTTGGCCGCGCGGGCCGGCGCGACGGCGCCGACGGCAGCGCCCACGTCCACGGCGGCGCCGTCCTACTTGACGGACGCGCCGACCGCGACGCCCGCGCCGACGGCCGCGCCGAGTGCATCGCAGCCGCCGTCGACCACGCCGTCGGTCGCGCCGACGACGTGCACCGTAGACCCGGTCTTTTGCGTCTACACCGACGCCGTGACGGCGTACGCCATCGACGTCGTCCAAGGCGAGACGCAAGAAGTCTTCGCGATCCCGGCGAGCCAGCGGCGCACCTGGATCCAGCTGGACGCGACGGCGGACATCGACTTGAAATTGGAGACTTCCGGCGGCGTCGTGCTTCTGGACTACAGCACGGGCACAAACTGGGCGAATTCGTTGACGGAGTACACCTACGCCGGCATGACCTTCGATTTCTGCGTCGACGGCTGCGGCGAGGACATCACCGTGGGACCGTACTACGACGGGAGCAGCTACAACGTCACCGGAGACGCGTCCTACTACAACGAGTACGTCTACGTCGACCGCGCGACGGAGGATCTGGTCGTCTCGGCGGTCGGCTACGGCTCCGGCACGGGCACGCTCAGCGTGCTCTACGACTGCCCGGGCACGTGCTGCACCTGCGCCGCGGCGACGTTCGCGCCATCGCCGGCGCCCTCCGCGACCCCGACGACGGCGGCGCCGACGACCGCGGGGCCGACGACGACGCCGACGACAGCCCCGCCGTCGGCCGCGCCGTCGCTGTTCCCGACGACGCCGGCGCCGTCGACCACGCCGTCGGTCGCGCCGACGACGTGCACCGTAGACCCGGTCTTTTGCGTCTACACCGACGCCGTGACGGCGTACGCCATCGACGTCGTCCAAGGCGAGACGCAAGAAGTCTTCGCGATCCCGGCGAGCCAGCGGCGCACCTGGATCCAGCTGGACGCGACGGCGGACATCGACTTGAAATTGGAGACTTCCGGCGGCGTCGTGCTTCTGGACTACAGCACGGGCACAAACTGGGCGAATTCGTTGACGGAGTACACCTACGCCGGCATGACCTTCGATTTCTGCGTCGACGGCTGCGACGAGGACATCACCGTGGGACCGTACTACGACGGGAGCAGCTACAACGTCACCGGAGACGCGTCCTACTACAACGAGTACGTCTACGTCGACCGCGCGACGGAGGATCTGGTCGTCTCGGCGGTCGGCTACGGCTCCGGCACGGGCACGCTCAGCGTGCTCTACGACTGCCCGGGCACGTGCTGCACCTGCGCCGCGGCGACGTTCGCGCCATCGCCGGCGCCCTCCGCGACCCCGACGACGGCGGCGCCGACGACCGCGGGGCCGACGACGACGCCGACGACAGCCCCGCCGTCGGCCGCGCCGTCGCTGTTCCCGACGACGCCGGCGCCGTCGACCACGCCGTCGGTCGCGCCGACGACGTGCACCGTAGACCCGGTCTTTTGCGTCTACACCGACGCCGTGACGGCGTACGCCATCGACGTCGTCCAAGGCGAGACGCAAGAAGTCTTCGCGATCCCGGCGAGCCAGCGGCGCACCTGGATCCAGCTGGACGCGACGGCGGACATCGACTTGAAATTGGAGACTTCCGGCGGCGTCGTGCTTCTGGACTACAGCACGGGCACAAACTGGGCGAATTCGTTGACGGAGTACACCTACGCCGGCATGACCTTCGATTTCTGCGTCGACGGCTGCGACGAGGACATCACCGTGGGACCGTACTACGACGGGAGCAGCTACAACGTCACCGGAGACGCGTCCTACTACAACGAGTACGTCTACGTCGACCGCGCGACGGAGGATCTGGTCGTCTCGGCGGTCGGCTACGGCTCCGGCACGGGCACGCTCAGCGTGCTCTACGACTGCCCGGGCACGTGCTGCACCTGCGCCGCGGCGACGTTCGCGCCATCGCCGGCGCCCTCCGCGACCCCGACGACGGCGGCGCCGACGACCGCGGGGCCGACGACGACGCCGACGACGGCCGTCCCATCCCTGTCCCCCACGACAGCCCCGCCGTCGGCCGCGCCGTCGCTGTTCCCGACGACCGCGTCGCCGTCGGCCGCGCCGTCGATCGCGCCCACGACGTGCACCGTCGACCCGGTCTTTTGCGTCTACACCGACGCCGTGACGGCGTACGCCGTCGACGTCGTCGAAGGCGAGACGCAAGAAGTCTTCGCGATCCCGGCGAGCCAGCGGCGCACCTGGATCCAGCTGGACGCGACGGCGGACATCGACCTGAAATTGGAAACCTCCGACGGCGTCGTGCTTCTGGACTACAGCACGGCCACGAACTGGGCGAACTCGTTGACGGAGTACACCTACGCCGGCATGACCTTCGATTTCTGCGTCGACGGCTGCGACGAGGACATCACGGTCGGTCCGTACTACGACGGGAGCAGCTACGACGTCGTCGGGAGCTCGTCCTACTTCAACGAGTACGTCTACGTCGACCGTGCGACGGAGGATTTGGTCGTCTCGGCGGTCGGCTACGGCTCCGGCACGGGCACGCTCAGCGTGCTCTACGACTGCCCGGGCACGTGCTGCACCTGCGCCGCGGCGACGTCCGCGCCCTCGCCGGCGCCGTCGTCGACGCCGACGACGGCCGCCCTGTCGCTCGGGCCCACGACGTCCCGGCCGACGTTCGAGATCCTCACCGTCGACGTCGCGCTCACGAGGGACGCGAGCGGCTGCGCGTCCTTCGTCTCCGCCAACGAGTCGCTCGTCTACGCGCGGGCGCTCGCGGCGACGCTCAACGTGAGCGTCGCCCGGGTCGCGGACGTCGCCTGCGCCGAGTACGAGCGCACGCGCCCGCCGAGCGCCCTCGTCGAGGACCGCGTCTACTGGGCCGACCGCTCCGTCGCGCCCTTCGACTGCGAGACCCACTACGAGCCCATCCAGGTGCTCAAGTACGAGGGCGCGGCGACGTACTCCGTCCGCGAGTTCAGCCTCGCGGACGGCGCCTACGACCTGCTCTACGACATCGACTACTTCGACGGCCACGTCAACGCCGTGGCGCTCTACGACGGCGGCGCGAGCGGCTACTACGCCCTCGGGTCCTTCGGGGGCTACCTCTGCCGCTTCGACAACGCGTCGGCGATCTGCTCCGCGACGCCCCTCGCGCTCGCGTCGCCGAACGTCGGCGCCATCGTCGGCAACGACTTCTACTACGCGAAGAACCTCGGCGACGACGGCGACGAGGCCGTCTACGTCGTCAAGGACGTGAACACGGACGATCCGGAATTCGTGGACGCCGCGCGCTTCGCGGTGTCGCCCGAACTCTTCCAGGGGACGGTGCTGGACCTGGCCGCCGTGGAGGAGGACGAAGACGACCTCGTCGTCGACGGGGACGCGGGGACCTACCTCGTCGGTCTGGGCTTCGGCTTCGAGGTGCTCGTCGTCCGCGTCGCGGCCGACGGTTTGGCGGACGCGTACGCGGTGGTCAACGCGACCGTGGACTGGGACGGCTACGACGCGACGGCCGCGGCGACGGGCTTCGGCGCCGCCTTCGCCTACGTGGCGGGCGGCACGCGCCTCTTCTTCGCGTCCAACGAGGGCCAGGGCCTCTTCGAGCTCATGCTGCCCGTCGCGGTGCCGGCGGAGTGCTGGAACGCGGGCTTCGACGTCGCCAACCACACGGCCTGCGGCGGCGACGCGGCGCGCATCTGGCGCGTCGCGGACGCCGTCGTCGCGACGAGCAACGACGGCATGAACTGCCCCGACGGCGCGGGCGCGTGGCTCGCGCTCTGCGCGGACGACGTCTGCTGGGCCGACGATTCCGTCGCGCCCTTCGACTGCGCGTCCCACGGCGAGCCCGTGCAGGTCCTCCGGTACGAGGGGGCGGCGACCTACTCCGTGCGCGAGTTCAGCCTCACGACCGGCGCCTACGACCTCGTCTACGACCTCGGCTGGTTCGACGGCCACGTCAACGCGGTCGCGCTCCTCGACGGCGGGTCCTACGGCTACTACGCCGTGGGCTCCTTCGACGGCTACCTCTGCCGCTTCGACAACGCGTCGTCGATCTGCGCGGCGACGCCCCTGGAGCTGTCGACGCCGAACGTCGGCGCGATCGTCGGCACGAGCTACTACTACGCGAAGAACGTCGGCGACCGCGGCGGCGAGGCCTTCTACTGGGTCGCGAACGTCCACACGGACGCGCCGACGTTCAACGAAGTCACCCGCGTCGCCGTGTCCTCCGAGCTCTTCGAGGGCTCGGTCCTCGACGTCGCGGTCATCGAGGAGGCCGGCGACGAGTTGGTCGACGACGGCGACGACGGCGGCACGTACCTCGTTGGCCTCGGCTTCGGCCTCGAGGTTTTGGTCGTGCGCATCGACGCCGTGGGCTACCCCGTCGCCTACGCCGTGCTCAACGCCACCGTGGACTGGGGCGGCGCCGAGCGCGGGACCACGGGCTTCGGCGCGGCGTTCGCGTACGTCCTCGAGGACTCGACGCGGCTGTTCTTCGCGTCCAACGAGGGCGAGGGCCTCTTCGAACTGACGCTGCCCGTGACGGTCCCGCCGGAGTGCTGGAACGTGGGCTTCGACCTGGCGTCCCACGCGGTCTGCGGGGAGGAGGGCGCCTACGTCTCCCGGCTCGCGGCCGCGGCCGCGGCGACGTCGAACGACGGCATGAACTGCCCCGGCGGCGCCGCGTCCTGGATCGCGTGCGCGGACGACATCTGCTGGTCCGACCTGTCGGTCGCCCCCTTCGACTGCGAGGCCCACGGGAACCCCGTGCAGGTCCTCAAGTACGACGGCGCCGACGCGTACTCCGTCCGCGAGTTCGACCTCGATTCCGGTTCCTACACCCTCGTCTACGACCTGGACTACGTCGACGGCCACGTCAACGCGGTCGCGCTCCTCGACGGCGGGTCCTACGGCTACTACGCCGTGGGCTCCTTCGACGGCTACCTCTGCCGCTTCGACAACGCGTCGTCGATCTGCGCGGCGACGCCCCTGGAGCTGTCGACGCCGAACGTCGGCGCCATCGTCGGGTCGAACTCGGCGTCCCGCGGCCGCGACGATTTTCGAGAGGTTTTGACCGGGAAACCGATGAACATTTGTTACCGACGCACTTGGTAGGTCGAACTACTACTACGCGAAGAACGTCGGCGACGACGGCGGCGAGGTCTTCTACTGGGTCGCGGGCGTCAACTCCGATGCGCCGACCTTCGTCAGCGATTATTTGTTCGCGGTATCGTCGGACCTCTTCGAGGGGTCCGTGCTCGACGTCGCCGCCTTCGAGGAGGACGACGAGGAGCTCGTCGACGACGGCGACGACCACGGCACCTACCTCGTCGGCCTCGGCTTCGACTTCGAGGTTTTGGTCGTCCGCGTCGCCGAGACCGGGTACCCGCTGTCCTACGCCGTGCTCCCGTCGTCCGTCGACGCCGTCGACGACGACAACGACGACTACGCCGACGACACGGCGGGCTTCGGCGCGGCCTTCGCCTACGCCGACGGCGGCGCGACGCGGTTGTTCTTCGCGGCGAACGGCGGCAAGGGCCTCTTCGAGCTCGCGCTGCCGATCACGGTGCCGTCGGAGTGCTGGAACACGGGGACCGACGTCGACGACCACGTCGCCTGCGACGCGGACGATGCCGCCATGATCTACCGCGTGAGCGACGCGGCCGAGGCGTCGTCGAACGACGGCCTCAACTGCCCGTCGGGCTTCGACGACGCCGACGCGTGCTACGACGACATCTGCTGGTCCGACCAGACCGTCTCCTCCTTCGACTGCGACGACCACGGGCTGCCCGTGCAGGTGCTCAAGTACGACGGCGCCGACGACTACTCCGTCCGCGAGTTCGACCCGGATTCCGGCACCTACGACCTCGTCTACGACCTCGACTGGTTCGACGGCCACGTCAACGCCGTCGCGCTCCTCGACGGCGGGTCCTACGGCTACTACGCCGTGGGCTCCTTCGACGGCTACCTCTGCCGCTTCGACGACGCGGTGGCGGTCTGCGCGACGACGCCGCTGGAGCTCGACGCGCCGAACGTCGGCGCGATCGTCGGCACGAGCTACTACTACGCCAAAAACGTCGGCGACGAGGACGACGAGGTCTTCTACTGGGTCGCGGACATCCACACTGATGAGCCGACGTTTTACGGTGACTACGAGTTCGCCGTGGCCTCGGACCTCTTCGAGGGGACCGTCCTGGACGTCGCGGTCGTGGAGGAGGCCGGCGACGAGATGATCGACGACGGCGACGACGAGGGGACGTACCTCGTCGGCCTCGGCTTCGACTTCGAGGTTTTGGTCGTCCGCATCGCCGCGTCGGGCTACCCGGACGCCTACGCGGTGCTCGAGTCGGACGTCGACGCGGACGACGACGACAAGCTCGACGACACGGCGGGCTTCGGCGCGGCCTTCGCCTACGTTGACGGCGACGCGACGCGCCTCTTCTTCGCGTCCAACGGCGGCGCGGGGCTCTTCGAGCTCGAGCTGCCGATCACGGTGCCGTCGGAGTGCTGGAACGCGGGGACCGGTCTGCGACGACGCGGACGACGCGGAGATCTCGCGCGTGAGCGACGCGGCCGAGGCGTCGTCGAACGACGGCATGAACTGCCCCGACGGCGACGTCGACGAGGACCGGCGGCGCGCGCGGCGGCGCCTCGCGCCGCCGCGCGACGGCGGCGCCGCGGCGCCGCGGCGCGCGCGGCGGAACGCTCCTCTCGGGCCCGACGGTCGTCCCGACGGCCGCCCCGACGGTCCTCCCGACGTCGGGCGTCTTCTCCGTCATCCACGCGACGGTCGAGTACGAGACGGCGGGCGGCGCGTCCGCGTCCGCCGTCGCGGCCGAGACGGCCGCCGTCGTCGAGGCGTCCGTCGCCGCGGGCGAGTTCTACGCCGCGCTCGAGGACGCCGCGGAGGACCTCGACCTCGTCGTCGAGATCGTCGCCGTCGGCGACGTCGCCGCGGTCGTCGCGCCGACGGCCGCGCCGACGACCGCGCCGACGACCGCGCCGTCGGCCGCGCCGACCGCGCCGTCCGCGGCGCCGACGTCCGCGGCGCCGACCGCGGCGCCGACGCGCGCGCCGTCGACGCGCCGCCCGACGGCGTCGCCCGCGCCGACGGCGTACCCGACGCTCGAGCGGGACACGTACTGCCACTGCATGCCCGCGGCGCCGAGCAAGACCGTCATCGCGGCGCTCGGCGACTGCGTCCGCGTCTGCTCCGTCGTGCCCGTGCGTTAAACAGCCCGGTGCCGTGTTCCAGGCAGCCGGGGGAGGAAGGCGGCGCCCTAGATGCCCAGGACGGCGTTGGCGCACTCGTAGCTGAGGAACATCATGCCGTAGAGGCCGCTGAAGATGGCGACGCGGGGCCCGACGCCGCGGAAGAAGCCGCGCGGCCCGTCGTCGCGCAGGATCTGTCGGACGACGCTCCCCGCGGCGCCGCCGCCGAGCTGGAGCCGCGTCTTGACAACGTCCAGGGGGCACGTCGCGCCCGCGGCGACGCCGCCGGCGAGCACGCCGCTCGCCAAGAACGTCGCCGTGGTCGGCTGGTCGTCGCCTCGCGAGAGCTGGTCGAGCACGATCGGGTAGAGCGGCAAGACGATGGCGCCGAAGGGGATCTCGCGCGCCAGGGTCGCGCCGAAGCCCCGGTAGAGCCCGCGGGGCCCGAGGCGCGACACGACGCCCGCGGGCGTCGCCTGTCCTCCGTTCAAGCCCTCCATCTGGCACTGGAGCTTGACCATCTCCATGGGCGTCGTCACCGTGACCTGGAGCGCCGCCGCGCCGGCGCCGCAGGCCACCTGCGTCGCGATCGGCAGCGCCGCGGCGTCGCGGGAGCCCGTCGCGCGCGCCGCAAAGTGGCGGAAGAGGTCGTTGGCCGCCAGCTTGATGCTCTTTTCGGGGAAGACGCCGACGAGGTTCGGGACGAGGCCCCGGTAGAAGCCGCGGAACCCCTCCGTGCGCAGCACGCCGCGGAAGACGTCCAAGAAGCGCGTGTTGGCCTGCACGGAGCCGGCGCCGCCGTTTTGCATGCGCGTCTTGCATAAATCGACGGGGAAGACGGCCGTGACGCCGAGCATGCCGGCGACGCCGCCGGTGGCCAGCTTCGGGAAAAAGGATACTCGCGAGCTCGACGTCGACATCGTCTGGGCAGCCCTTCTTGTTCTGTTGTTGTCGCCAACGAGGGTAAACGGAGCAGTCAACGAGCACTGCTTGAAATTCTTCAATATATCAAGCGGGACGCAATGATGGCTAGCGTGCTCCTCTTGTGCTCGTGCGCTGCAGCCTTTCGCGCGCCGCGCGCGCAGCTCCTGCGACCGGAAGCGCGCGCAACTCTCTGCTTGCAGATGCGGGGCGGCGGCGAGCTCCCGGAGCGGCGGCTTCCCTACGGCGTCCTCGGCGCGGTGTCGAGCGCGGCGTGGCTGGCCACCGCCACCGCTGCGCTCGCGACGTACAAGCCCGAGCGCGTCCTGCACAACGCGATAGGCGTCGCCGAGGCCGCGACGGCGGTGCCCGTCATCGGCGCCGTGGGCGCGACGCTCGCCCGGTGTTCCGCGCGGCGCGGCGTCGCCGGCCGGCGCCTGCACCTCGCCTGGGCATCGGCGTCGGCCTGGTCCGCGGCCGCCGTGCTCTGGGCGCCGCGGTTCACGGCCGCGGTCGTCCGCGGGACGTCGCACCCAGCGTCCTGTGGCCGTGACGATTTTCGAGAGATTTCGGGTGGGAAAACAACGAGAAATGGTCACCGTCGCGCTTGGTAGGTCGCACCCCGTCGTCTACGCCCCGGCGCTGCGCTACGGCGCCGCCCTCGCGCACGGCGCCGTCGCCGCGGCGACGTACGCGGCCTGGCGGCGGACCGCGCCGACGACGTGGCTCGCCGAGCTCCTCGGCGAGCGGTTCGTGCCCCCGCCGGGCTCCGGCGGCCGCGCGACGGAGCTCGGCGCCGTCGCCGCGGCCTTCGCGGCCTTCGCCGGGGTGGCGGTCTTCGCGCCGTTCCCCCTCGCGACGCTCCCGTCGCTCCTCGGCAAGCGCTCGGCGCGCGCCGCGGGCGCCTGGTCCCTCCTCTCGTGCGCGGCCTACCTCTGCCTGCGGGACCGCGCGCGCGGCGCCGCCGACGACGTCGCGCCGCTCGAGGCGGGCCTCCGGCGCTCCGCGGCGGCGCACCTCGCGCTCGCGGCCGCGCGGCCCTTCCTCGACGGCGTCGGCCTCTACCCGGCGGCCGCGGCCGTGGCGCCGGCCCTCGTCGCGTCGCTCGCGGTCTACGCGGTCGCGATCGTCGCGCTCAGCCCGCCGCCGGGCTGGCAAGCGCAGGCCGCGTAGCGTAGGACAGCGCGGGCGCTTCAACGTGAGTCTCTGTTTGTTCGTTCGTCGCTATGTGGTCCGTCGGCTTCGATGTCTAAATCTTTTTCGCCGAGGAGGTCCGGGTCGAGGCCGCCCGGCCGACGTCGCGCGCGAGGTCCGGAGGCGTCGGCGGAGTTCGCTCGGCTGCCGGAGAAGGCTGCTGGAGGGGACCTGCTGCCTCCGGCGGCGCGGACGCGTCTACGCATGCAACAAGGGGTTCAAAAAACTGACTTGAGCCGGAACGTGGGAGATCCGACTCGCCTGTCGACGGTCGCGCTCGGAATCCCGTGACACCTCTCGTACTTCACGCGCGCCGCCGGCGCCCCGCGACTTGTTCCGCCCCGAAACTTCGATCGGCGTCGCGCCCGAGCCCCCTCCCACACAAATTTGAGAGCGGCGGCGCCGTAGATGTCGCGTCTCGACAAAAAGATCGACCTCGGGCGAGAGAACCGTGCCCGCGCCGCGCCGGCGCCCGGGGCCTCGTCGCCCGCCCTTGGCGAGGCGGGCGCGCCCGCGCGCGCACGCCCTCGGCTCTCGGGTGGCGTGCGAGGCCCGGCCTCGCGGTTCCTCGCGAAGGCGTCGCCGACGAGGAACCGCCTGCGTCGCGCCGCCGAGCTCCGCGCGCCCCCGGAACCTCCCGAGCCGCGCCCCGCTCCTCGCGCTACGCGACCGACTTCATGACCCACATGCCCTCCTCACAGGCGTTCGCGCCGTACCAGCTACACGTTCACGCGAAGATGAAGCGGAAAGCGTTCCTGCTCCTCGCGCTCGGCGTCGTCGCGAAGGCCGGCTCCGAGAGCGGCGCCGTCAGCGCCGGCGGCGGCTCCTTCGACTCCACGTGCACGGACTCGACGAGGTGGTACAAAGGCAAAGCTAAGAAGCAGGACTGCGCCTGGGTCGGCGAGAAGCCGGCGAAGCGCTGCAAGGGCAAGGTCAAGTCCAAGGACGGCGTCAAGGCCAAGGTCGCCTGCCCCGTGGCGTGCGGCACCTGCCCGACGCCCGCGCCGACGGCGCCCGCGCCGTCGGTCACTCCGACGCCCGCGCCGTCGGTCACTCCGACGCCCGCGCCGACCTACGCGCCGACGACGCCCGCGCCGACGACGCCCGCGCCGACGACGCCCGCGCCGACGACCGCGGTCGTGGCGTGGAAGCAGCGCGGCGACGACATCGACGGCGAGGCCGCGTACGACCAGTCGGGCAGGTCGGTGTCGCTAAGTGCGGACGGCACCGTCCTGGCCGTCGGGGCGATCTGGAACGGCGGCGCCGGCTCCCGCGCGGGTCACGCGCGCGTGTTCGCGTGGGACTCCAACGACGATACGTGGATTCAGCGCGGCGACGACATCGACGGCGAGGCCGCGTACGACTACTCGGGCTACTCGGTGGCGCTGAGCGCGGACGGCACGGCGCTAGCCGTCGGGGCGTACGAGAACGACGGCGCCGGCTCCAACGCGGGCCACGCGCGCGTGTTCGCTTGGGACCCCGACGACGAGACCTGGAAGCAGCGCGGCGACGACATCGACGGCGAGGCTGCGGGCGACCAGTCGGGCATATCGGTATCGCTGAGTGCGGACGGCATGACGCTGGCCGTCGGGGCGCCCGGGAACCGCGCCAGCCGGGGCCACGCGCGCGTGTTCGCGTGGAACTCCGACGACGAGACGTGGGTTCAGCGCGGCGACGACATCGACGGCGAGGCCGCGTACGACTACTCGGGCAGGTCGGTATCGCTGAGCGCGGACGGCACGGCGCTCGCCGTCGGGGCGAGGAGGAACGCCGACGCCGGCTCTTACGCGGGCCACGCGCGCGTGTTCGCGTGGGACTCCGACGACGAGACGTGGATTCAGCGCGGCGACGACATCGACGGCGAGGCCGCGCTCGACCGGTCGGGCTACTCGGTATCGCTGAGCGCGGACGGCACGGCGCTGGCCGTCGGGGCGATCAACAACGACGGCGCTGGCAACAGCGCGGGTAGCACTCGGGTGTATACCATCGCGCCGCCGACGACGCCCGCGCCGACGACGCCCGCGCCGACGACGCCCGCGCCGACGACGCCCGCGCCGACGACCGCGGTCGTGGCGTGGACGCAGCGCGGCGACGAAATCGACGCCGAGGCCGCGGGGGACCAATCGGGCTTGTCGGTGTCGCTCAGCGCGGACGGCACGACGCTGGCCGTCGGGGCGCCCTGGAACGACGGCGCCGGCTCGAACGCGGGCCACGCGCGCGTGTTCGCGTGGGACTCCGACGACGAGACGTGGGTTCAGCGCGGCGGCGACATCGACGGCGAGGCCGCGAACGACTTCTCGGGTTCCTCGGTATCGCTGAGTGCGGACGGCACGACGCTGGCCGTCGGGGCGCACGGGAACGACGGCAACGGCCTCAACGCGGGCCACGCGCGCGTCTTCGCGTGGCACTCCGACGACGAGACGTGGGTTCAGCGCGGCGACGACATCGACGGCGTGGCCGCGGGCGACAACTCGGGCTACTCGGTGTCGCTGAGCGCGGACGGCACGACGCTGGCCGTCGGGGCGATCTACAACGGCGGTGGCGGCACCTACGCGGGCCACACGCGCGTGTTCGCGTGGAACTCCGACGACGAGACCTGGAAGCGGCGCGGCGACGACATCGACGGCGATGCCGCGGGCGACGAGTCGGGCTGCTCGGTGTCGCTGAGCGCGGATGGCACGGCGCTGGCCATCGGGGCGTACCTGAACGACGGCGCCGGCGGCGACGCGGGCCACGCGCGCGTGTTCGCGTGGGACTCCAACAAGAACGAGTGGGTTCAGCGCGGCGACGACATCGACGGCGAGGCCGCGTGGGACCGGTCGGGCAGGTCGGTGTCGCTGAGCGCGGACGGCACGACGCTGGCTGTCGGGGCACACTACAACGGCGGCGGCGGCAGCTACGCGGGCCACGCGCGCGTGTATTCGACCTCCGCTCCGGCCGGCGGCGACGCGGATGCTTTCACCAGCGCGACGACGACGACCTTCGGCTTCGCGGGCGAAGACGGGCCCCACGGAGACGGGCCGGATTGCTCCACGAAGAGGGGCCGCGACTCCAAGTCCTGGTACCGGAAAGACGCCCCGACGAAGACCTGCAAGTGGGTCGAGAGGAAGCCGGCGAAGCGGTGCCGCAAGAAGGGCGCGACCGGCGCGCGGGCCTTGACCGAGTGCGTCCGCGCCTGCGCGTCGTGCCCTTCCGAGGGCGCGTGCGCGGACGACGCGGCGTGGTCGCACATCAACAAGAAGAACAAGAAGCTCGACTGCGTCAGCGTCGCGCGGAACGCCGGCCGCCGCTGCGCCTTACCGGGCGCCGCGGCGGCCTGCGAGCAGACCTGCGGTGGGTGCTGAGAGCTTCCCCCCTCGCGCGCTACGCAGAAGCAAGCAACCCTGAAGTAAGCGCGGAGGACAACCTGTGACGGGAGCCCCTTATACGACGGCTCTCTCTTTAAAACCCGCGGGATAGCGGCGCCGGCCGCCGCGCGGGACCGCGCCCGGCGCCCTAGAAGAAGGAGAAGGGCCTCGTGAGGTGGAGCAGCTCCTCGACGGTCTGCTGGAACTTGAGGGGCGCCTTGCGGACGCGGTCCATGGACTCCTCGGAGGAGACGGCCCGGAGGCAGCGGTGGAGGAAGATGTGGCTCGTCGCGGCGCCGAGCGGCGACTCGTCGAAGACGGCCGGCGGCGCGGTCTCCGGGTCGACGCCGCCCGGCGGGACCTCGTCGTAGTTCTCGTCGCCCATGACGAGCGTGCACTTGACGGCCGCGCCGGGCAGCTCGCCGACGCCCGGCGCCTCGCGCGCGGACTTGGACGCCGCGTCGCGCTCGACGAGGACCGTCATGAAGTCGAGCGCGTTGCCGCCGCCGCCGACGTAGGTCGACGTCTCGCGGGCCCGCAGGCCGCAGCGGTCGCGGCCCAGGTCCTTGCCCGCGGGGCACTCGGCGAAGTCGTAGGACGCGGCCAACGCGGCGACCTCCTCGCAGAGCTTCCGCTCGACGTCGCCGTGCTTGAGCGCGAAGGACGCGCGCTTCCGCGTGCAGGCCGCCGCGTCGGCGTCGTCGGGCCGCAGGTGGATGCCCGCCTTGGACAGCGCCGCGAGGAGGCGGCCGGGCTTCATCGCCGGCGCGGCGCGCCCGCCGGTCCCGAGCAGCCCCGCGAGCTCCGGGACCCGCGACGGCTCGAGGAGCGTGCAGGACCCGTCGCCGCGGACCTCGATCACGACCTCGAAGCGCGGCGTCGCCAGGCTCAGGCGGCAGCAGGCCTCCTCGACCTCGCTGTCGTAGGGCGCGGCGACGGGCAGCGCGGGGCTTAGAGACCACGCCTCGTAGGGCAGGTCCAGCGTCCGCGGCTGCACGAGCGCGAGCACGCCGCTCCGCGCGAGGTTGAAGCCGACCTCGCGCTTCGCCTCGTTGTACTCCACGCCCGACGTCGTGCCGTCGATCCACGACTTGCGCGACGTGTCCCACCACGCGACGCGGAGCGGCGAGTCGGACGCGTCGTCGGGCGCCGCGGGCACGATGATGGACTCGGGCACGACGACGCGGGCGCGCAGGTACTGGTTCGGCGCCGGCACGCCGCTCCCCGTGTAGACGAAGGGCGTGTCGACCTCCGCGCCCGGCGGGAAGTGCGCGACCTTGACGGACGTCGCGAGCCCCGTGAGCTGCTGCATGGTCCACTTGGGCTTGATCTCCTTGGGCGGCGGCGGCAGCTCGACGACCTCGAGCTGGATGGACCCGCCGAGCGGGTGCATCTCGTCGCCGGGGAGCAGCGCGCCCGGCGCGCCGCCCTCGGGGACCGCCTGCGACCCGCGGACGGACGCGACGATCTCGTCCTCGGCGAACCGGTCGCCGCGGTAGGCCGCGCTCACGTGCTCGTAGGGCAACAGGAAGACGCGCGCGCCGAGGCGCTGCGTGCCCAGCGTCTTGGGCAGGTCCACGTGCAGGTCCACATCCTGGAAGCCGAGCTGCTTGAAGGGGCCGCGGAGCGTCTTGATCGTCAGGTTCGCCCAGACGCCGACGCGCGTCGCGCTCCGCAGGGGCGCGCCCGCGGCGACGTCGGCGGCCTCGTCCTTGGCCGCGGCGACGGTCGTCGTGGAAGCCGCGCGCGCGACCGCCGCGGGCGCCTTCGTCGGCGACCCGGCGCCGGCCTTGGGCTCCTCGTCCTTGCCCGCCGCGTGGCCGGGCAGGCCCGCGGCGGCCTTGGCCTCCTCGCGCTTCAGGGCGGCGGCCTCCGCGGCGACGTCGCTGCCGACGACGAAGATCTCCTTCTTCTCCGCGTCCTCGGATTTCGCGGACGTGTCGTCCGCGTGCTGGAGCACGTGGGCCGTCGCGCGGTCGAGCTGGGCGACGACGCCGTCCCGCAGGCGATGGAGGAAGCGGCCGCAGCGCAGGGCCGCCGCGGCGTCGCCGCGGGCCACCGCGTCCGCGCGGAGGTCCTCGAGCGACTGCGAGATGCGCTCCGTCCGCGCGACGCGCTCGAGGGCCTCGTCGAGCGTGAAGTCGCCGCCGAGGTCCGCCTGGATGCGCGTTTCCGTCATGTCGTCGTAGAGCTGGGAGATGTAGGTGTTGAGCTCGCGGTCGCTCTCGCCCGCGGGCAGCGGGTCGCACGCGCGGTAGTTCTCCCACGCGCGCGCCTCCTCGTCGGCCGCGCGCTCCTCGTCGATGCGCGCGCGCCGCCGCTCCATGACGCCGGCCTCCTCGCGCGCCTCCACGTTGAGCAGCTCGAGCTCCTCGACGCGCGCCTGCTTCTGCGCCTCCTTGAGCCGCTGCTCCGCCTCGCGCTCGCGCTCGCGCTGCTCCTCGAGCTTGCGCGCGCGCTCCTTGGCGTCGATCTCCTCCTGCCGCTCGCGGTCGATGCGCTCCTGCTCGAGCTCCGCCTTGGACTTCTTCTTCTTCTTCTCCTTCTTGGGACCCATGGCGGTGATGGGGGCGCCAGGCGACGCGTTGGGCGGGCAGCTCGCGGGCAACCGATTTGGATTTAGTTTGCGAGTGAAGCGGTGATGCAGACCTTTCGGGACCGGCGCGACGACTTGCGCGACGCGCACGCGTCGTCGGCTGCACACGAGGCGCGACACGGCCCTGTGTCTCGGGCACGGCGGCTGCGGCGAACCTTCGTCGTCGACTCCCGATGGCGTCGTTTTCACTTTCGGACGAAGCTTACGCGGCCGCGGCCGCGCGCGGCGGCGTCACGGCGCGGCGAGCGCCGCGCCGTCGGCGCTCCTCCTGTCCGCATCGAGCTCCGTCTGGGCCGCCTGGGCGCCGGCGATGAAGGTGTCGAGCTCGCTCCGGTCCATCTCGAGGAACACGTCGCGGCGCGCGCCGTCCTTCCCCTCGACCTCGAGATGTACCTGCGGGCAGCCCCGGTCGCGCCGCGGCGCGCGCGCACGTTCCCGCGCCGCGCCGCGCGATGACGACCATACGGTTCATCTCCGCGAGCTTGTTCGACGACACGACGACCTGCGGCGGCGGCGCGTCCGGTTTGATTTCGCGGCGCGCGTCTTTTGGCGACGCCGCTGGCGCGCGCGCGTGCTCCACGTGAAGTCGATGAGTTTGGCGCCCTCCGGGAGCATCGCCGCCATCGCTATTGCGCCGCGGCGGCGGTCGCCGCCCTGCGGATGAGGACGCGGCGGTCGAGAGAGCACCACTGCCTCTCGAGGAGGAGCCTGCTGCCTGGGGCAAGGGGAGCTTCACGGATCCCCTTGGGCTAGTTAGGGGCAGCCTAGAACTTTGACACCAGATTATTTGTCCGCATCCGTTTCGTAGCCGTTTTAGCCAGAGTTGAGGCGACAAATTTGTGCGCCAGATATGGGTCTTTTGACCCGTTTGCGAGCGGTTTGTTATGACAACGTCACCAAATCTCAGGGTCAGACGCGTTGAAAAACCCCTCGCCCTGCCTCGGACAAATTAGGTGGTGGCAGCCGTCCGCGTGAAATTCGGGCTGTCAATTCGTCCGGGCGTGGGCGCCCCCCGGGGCCCGGGATGTCGGTGTGCTTCCTGGAGTACCGGGCGCGGGTGCGCCTCGCCCGCGTGCGCGAGGGCGGGACGACCATCGGCTACTGCCATCTCACGGGCCGCCCATTGAAGGAGCGGCTCACGCCGCGGCCGGGCCGGAGCGGCCCGGCGTTTTCGGGCTTCGCTCCGTGCGACCCGCCCGGCGGCAGCGCGGGCTGCGGCCGGCCCCGGTCCCTGGACCTCCCGCCGGACAGCGACCGCGCGTCCGCGGGCCGGTCGATGCCCGACGGCTGGGTCCCCGAGGGCAGCCGCGGCGGCGACGCCGGGCGCGCGCGGTGCCCCCTGGCGCGGACGCGGGACGCCGCGGCGCAGACCCTCTGCTCGCCGAAGCGGCGGCGGGGCCGCAAGCGCCGCGTCCCCGACGCGGACGCGGACGCGGCGCGGCCGCGGCGCGGCCGCCGCGCGTCGGGCCGCGCGGTGGCCCAGAAGGTCTCCGACGAGGACTCCGCCGGCGACGACGCGCCGCCGGTCCCGGCGCCGGCGCGGCCCGCGCGCCGGAAGCGGGCCCACCTCAGCCGCACGGTGACGCTCGACGACGAGCTGCTCCTCGAGGACGCGCTCCGCCGGTCCGTCGACGCGCGGCGGCCGTCGCGGAGCTCGTCCTTCGACGACGCGCCGAACGTGAGCCCCGACGCGTCGCCCGTCTGGGGCTCGCCGGGCAAGGAGAGCGACGCGTCCGCGGCGAGCTTCACGTCCGGGCCGGGCTCGCTCGTCGGCGACGACGACGACGCGCTCTGCCGCAACCCCTACGCCCTGCTGCCGGACCTCGACGACCGCCGCGGCGGCGTCGCGCCGCCCTGGCTCGACCTCGACGGCTCCGACGACGGCTCCGGCGGCCCCTGCGGCGGCGACGGCGACCTCGACGACGACTCGCGCTCGACTCGACGGGA